GAGGAAGGGTCACTGGACCCGAAATGTTAACTCTGTTTTTTCCTTCACAGGTGCTGCCAGACCTGCTGAGCTTTTCCAGCAACTTTGTTTTTGTTATTTGTGAAGTCTGCAAGTTCCAAATATCAGGGTTCCTGTTTGCCAGCTGAATCTGAAAGCTACTCGAAAGACCTTTGATTGCTCTGTGATGAACAGCACTTGGATCTTGTCAAAAGGAAATCAAGGGGACTGTGAGAAGTAAGCACGTTCTCTCTTTTACACATGCACGTTTGACCTGTAGCGGTGTTGTTAGCTTTTTGCCTATTTTTTCAACCGTATTTCTGTGAGTATGGAATCCACGTTGTCAAAAAGCTACCTGGTTCGTTAGTGTTACAGGGAAGAATATTTGCTGTCCTTATCCGGTTCAGCCTCCATTTATACACACACACACATATATAGATATATTCATTCATGGAATGAGACTGTCCCTAGCTAAGCCAGCATTTATGTCTGCCCATCCCAGACAGCTGTTGTCAACCACGTTGCTGTGGGTCTGGAGTCACATGTAGGCCAGACCAGGTAAGGATGGCAGCTTCCTTCCCTAAAAGACATTAGTGAACTAGATGGGTTTTCCCCCCTGACAATCAGCAATGGATTCATGCTCATTATTAGATTCTGATTTCCAGATGTTTATTGAATGCAAATTCCACCATTGGGTATGATGGGATTCAAACACAGGTGCCCAGAGTATTAGAGATAGTAAGAACTGCCGATGCTGGAGTCAGAGATAACACAGTGTGGAGCTGGAGGAGCACAGCAGGCCAGGCAGCATTGCAGGAGCAGGAAATCTGAAGGAGGATCCCGACCCAAAACATCAACTTTCCTACTCCTCTGATGCTGCCTGGCCTGCTGTGTTCCTCCAGCTCCACACTGTGTTGCCCAGAGTATTACCTAGGTCTCTGGATTAGCAATCCAGTGATAATACCACAAGGCTGTCCCTTCCACATGTGACTCCAGACCCCTAGCAATGTAGTTGACTCTGTGAAATGGCCGAGCATGCCACTCAGTTCAAAGACACTGGTCAACATTGGCCAATGATGGTGTCACAGTTGCTGGCCTGGCAAGAGAATTTCATTTCCCATGAAAGAATAAATAATTTTTTTAAAACTTCCCACCTCTGCATGACCCAAGATTTCACCAAATGTTGAAGTTAACTTTAAAAGGTGGGGGCTCACGTTTTCTGATGCTCCAGCCAGGCCAGCTCAGCCTTGGTTTTCTCCCTCAGTGCTCTCTCCCTTAGTCGAAATAGAGCTGCTTGGTGTCTGGCTCGAAGTTCCTCTTCCTTGAGGTACTGCTGAGCCATCTCAAGCGTAAACCGGCTGAAAGCGTCTGGGCTGCCAAAGATAGACGTGCCTGATTCCTGCCACTGGAAATGAATAACAACATCTTCATCTTCCCAAACAGCTCCATCCCAACAAAGTCAACAGGCATTGTGGTAACCAGCATTCCAATATTCTCACTTATGCCAGCGGATGGCAATATTACCTTTCAAAGGACAACAACAATTTGAATTTATATAGCACCTTTATGAGTGGAACAACCCAAGGCCCTTAGACAATTTTGACATCTCGTGATGTCCGAATGAAAAGGCAATATAATTCTACTCCACTTTCTGAGGAGAGATTGAAGAAATAAGGGTCTGCATTCTCCTGGAGTTAATTTATAATGGAATGCACTGCCTGGAAATGTGTTGGAGGCAGGTTCAATTGAGACTTTCAAAAGGTTATTGGATGACTATTTTCATAAAAAATAATGTACAAGGTTATTGAAGGAAAGCAGGAGATTGGCACTCACGAATGATGCTCATTAAATAAGACAATACAGGCACGATGGGCTGAATGGCCTCTTTCTGCGCCATAACAATTCTGTAATTCTGAGAGGTGATCTCATTGAAGCATACAAAAGATTTCCAGGGCACGGCAGGGCAGATGTAAATAGGACCTCAGAATGGTGGGGTGAGTGGGGTCTATAACAGGTGGCTTGGCGCTCAATGTTTAGTACTGCTGCCTTACAGTGCCAGGCACCCAGATTTGATTCCAGTCTCAGGTGACTGTCTGTGTGGTGTTTGTATATTCTCCCATATCTGCGTGGGTTTCCTCAGGGTGCTCCAGTTTCCTCCCACTGTCCAAAAGCATGCAGGTTAGGTCGATCGGCCATGGTAAATTGCCCCATTGTGTCCAGGGTTGTGCAGGCTAGGTGAATTAGTCCTGGTTTATGTAGGGTTATAGGGATGGGGTAGGTCTGTGTGGGGTGCTCTTCGGAGGATTAGTACAGACCCAATGGGCCGAATGGCCTCTTTCTGCACTGTAGCGATTCGAGAACTGGGGATATAGTCTCAGCATTAGATGTAGGCCATTCAGGGTTGAGATGAGGAGGAATTTCTTCACTCAGAGAACAGTTAATCTTTGGAATATACTACCCCAGCGGGCTTTGAAAGCTTAGTCACTAAAATTAAGTAAGTTCATGACAAAAGTTGATTGATTTCTGGATATCGAGGGAAGTGGACGATTTAAAAAAAAATTCATTCATGGGATGAGGGCATCACTGGCTATGCATTTATTGCTCACCCCCAATTGCCCACAGGGAAGGTAAGAGTCAATGCTGTGGGTCTGGAGTTACTTATAAGCCAGACCAGGTAAGGATAGCAGTTTCGTTCCCCGAAAGGGCATTAAGTGAACCAGATGGGTTCTTCCTCAACAATCAACAATGGATTCATGGTCATCATTAGACTCTCGATTCCAAATTTTTATTGAATCTGAATTCCACCATTTGCTGTGACAGGATTCAAACACGGGTCCCCAGGACATTATCTAGGTCTGTGGATTAACAGTCCAGTGATAATACCACTAGGCCAATGCCTCCTCTAGGAGGATAACTGGAGTAAAGATGAGGCAGACTTGAGGGCTGAATGGCCTAATCCTGCTCCTATTTCCTATGTTGGAATTACCTTTCCAAAAGCATCATCTGTTACATTCCGTGCAATTTCATCACCAGACTGTGACTTCTTTTTACTTTCCAGCGTCCGTCTCCAATGACTCTCAGAAGGTAGCAGGGACCAAAAGGACTGTTCCACCGATATATCTTTCACCAACATTCCATCAGTGAGTGATGGGTGGGTACTCCCCAAGACCGATTCTACAATGTAAAGAATGGTTTTAGTCAATCTAATAATGACAGACCTGTCTATCAGGATCTGCTATTGTCAAGAATTGGTTTCCAACCATATTGATCAGAAGCAACTTGCAGACACTTGGGAGAGAGACGAACCTGGATAAACTGGAGCCTCCCAACTGCCTCTTAGAAAGGAGGAAACATATAGTTTCGAATGATTCTATACACCAATCATTACAAGTGATGGGGTGGTGGTTGGTGGTCATTTGAATCAACTGGGATCATGCACAGCCCTGTGGTTTTCAACCAGGGCTCCCCAGAGCCTAAAGCATCCCTAAAGGGGTCTGCACAATTTACAGATCAATTTGAAAAATGCAGCAAATACAGGATAAACATTTTGTTTCAAAAAACTAAAATGAGACAATCAGTACCATTATAAGTAGACAGTTTTCAACATTGTAGTTTAATTTTGCATTGTTTTAGTTGTATTTTTAAACCTTGGTTTGTAATATAGACAAAGGTCCTAGGGAGGAGGGACAGAGGATTGCGGCTCTGAGAATTTCAGAATATATTACGGCAATCCATAAGCAGAAGAAAAATATTGAAAATTGCTGGCTTTACTTAATCGTGCTCTTGTCTCTGAAAGTCAAACATAATGTTACCAAAAGACTTGTTGCTTTTACTGAGTATGGACTCTAAAAGCTTCCAGGATCTCCTTGTCCAGAACAATAGAAGCAGAAGATGTGGACTATGTTTGAAAGAAGGTAAATTCAAAACTAATAAACAGAAATATTATTTCAGCCAGCATGCATAGAATCTATGAAGCAGGCTACCCGGGAAGTTGGTGGGGTCAGTTAATATTGATTCATTCAGATGCAAACTAGATGGGTTCCTTGAGTAATAGTATCTTGGGCATCAGGGGTTATTGAGGGAGGCATATGGGAATGCATAATTTGAAACACAAATAGATCAGCCATGATGTTATTGAATGGACAAGCAGACTTGTAGGGGCTGAATAGTCCAACACTGCTCCTATTTCATGCACTTGAATATATTTTGGGAACCTCTGTGGTGAGCAGCTTGTGACATGACATGGGAGATGGTGCAGGCACAATTTGCCAAATGCCCTGTAACACTTTTGTAAATCTCCATTGACATGTGGCCAGTGACAAGTGACTTGGGAGGAATTACTCCCAAAACTCTCCCCACTGGGACCGACGGGGGAGCCGGGGGAGGGAGGGGGTTGGGGGGTGGTTTGTGTGGCAGTGAAATCTTCACCTCACGTCAGGGTCTGTCCTAGATTGATTGATAGAAATTGATCACTGCGCTTTGTCAAAAACTCCAATATCATTGTGACATCCAGTATGATGGCAGGTGAACTACAGGAACAAAAACAGAAATTGCTGGAACAATTCAGCAGGTTTGGCAGCATCTGTGAGGAGAAAACAGAAAGTTAATGTTTCAAGTCCAGCAACTCTTCACCAGAACTCAGAACATGAGACTAAGTGTCACTGAATTTGAAACATTTAACTGTTTCTCTCTTCCCACAGATGCTGCCAGACCGGCTGAGTTTCTCCAGCAACTTCTGTTTTTGTATCAGACTTCCAGGATCCACAGTTCTTTGTTTTCATTGAACAGACTTTCTAGAAATGCCTACGCAAGAGCGTGGGGATTATTGACTGGTGATCCTGCTCATTCCTGATAGTGCAGGAGGTCTCCACCAGAAGGAGAAGGAGAGAAAACTAAAGAGGAATTGTTACCCTGCAAGATGAAAAACTGAGCGTAGGAATACAAAATGAATTAAGTCCATCTAGTGATCAGATGGACATTCTCCCGATGGAATTATGGGTGGGCAGAATGAAGATCTTCCAAAGTGTAATCATCGTGGGCGCTTAATAAATGATTTCTTAAAGAAAGAGGAGAAAATCACAAGCTTACAAAAGTTGAGATTTTTGCTAACAAAGGCAAAGTCATAATGTTGGGGGAGGCAGCCTGTTAAGGATAACGCGGGATATTGCAGACACTGGGAATCTGAAATAAAAACGGAAAATGCTGCGAATGCTCAGCAGGTCTGGCAGCATCTGTGGAGATTGGATCTCTGAGACAGACACCAGGCAGCTTTATTTCAACAGACATCAGAAGAAAGCTATCCAACCAGAACCCGAACACCTTCTTCTATATCCTTTAACCACACCCACATACCAGGCTCTGTCATGAATGGGCTGCTTACAGCACTACCAACACATTTTCACCTACTTATGGTCCCTATTGTTGGATTTTCTTTCTCCCTGGCTCACCATTATCCATGCCTTTGTCTCTCTAACTGTCATTCTCTCTTTCTCTCTCTCTCTCTCTCTCTCTCGGCCCTATCTTTGCCTCTCCTCTCACTCCTTCTCCCTGCACCCCACCCCCTGTCTTCAGCATTAACACCATCTTTTCCTAGCTGCAATCAGTTGTGAAGAAAGGTTACTGGACTCAAAACATTAACTCTCTCCCTTCCCACAAATGCTGAAGTTTCTCCAGCTATTTTTCTGTTTTTGTTTCAGATCTCCAGCATCTGTAGTGTTTTCCATTATTCATTCATGGGATAAGGGCGTTGCTGACTAGGCACCATTTATTGCCCATCCCTAATTGCCCAGAGGGCAGTTCAGAGTCAACCACATTGCTGTGGGCCTGGAGTCACGTGTAGGCCAGACCAGGTAAGGATGGCAGTTTCCTTCCCTAAAGGACATTAGTGAACCAGATAGGTTTTTCCCGACAATCGGCAATGGATTCACGATCATCCATTAGATTCCTAATTCCAGGTATTTATTGAATTCAGATTCCACCATCTACCGTGGTGGGATTTGAACCTAGGTCCCCATATCATTATCGAGGGGTCTCTGGATTAACAGTCCAGCGACAATACCACTAGGCCATCGCCTCCCCATTTTATATTGGAATCAGGCCTGAAGGCTTTGGTGCTGTTACTCTCCACAGCAATGTAGCTGGACCGACTGCGAGTTACCAGAATATTCTGTTGCATGACCAATGGAGGAAGGTGAATGATCACCTGGACTGCTGGTCCATTGAAACAGCGGGCCCCACACCCTCGGAGAAACCACCGAGAAAGGTATGGTTGCTGAGGCATAAGGAAAGTGGTTGTGGAGGAAACCGCTCTGGTGGTAGTGTCAGGGCCATTGGAGAACTGGGGGTAGAGGTTTAGGAACCTTGTCCACTTGCAGTCCTGTCCTTGAACCACATGGTTCCAATGCTTCCTCACTTTCCATAGAAAATTTACAGAAAGAGGCCATTCAGCCCACTCAAGCTGAATCAACGGGCCGCCCATTCTAATCCCACCTGCCAGCACCTGAACTGTAACCTTGCAGCTTTCAACTCTTCAGGGGCAGTTCCAGGTTCCTTTCAAATGAGTTGAGCAATTCTTCTCAACCACTAAACTGGGCAGACACTTAGAGTGAAAAGATTTTCCCTCAGATCCCTTCTAATACTTCTACCAACCACCTTAAATCTGTGCCCCTGGGTAACTGACCTCTCTGCTTGGGAAGATGGAGTGGACAGGGAAGACCTATCTTGGAACATAGGAACAGGAGTTGGCATTCAGCCCCTTGAGTCTGTTCCAACATTCAATGAGATCTGAAGAAGGGTCCTAACCCAAAACGTCGACTTTCCTGCTCCTCTGATGCTACCTGGCCTGCTGTGTTCCTCCAGCTCCACACTGTGTTATCAATGAGATCATATACCTTTCTTTGGTCCATATCCCTTAATATCTTTGCTTTACAAATGTTTACCTAATTCAGATTTAAAATGAGCAACTGATCCTGCATCAACTGCCATTTGTGGAACAGAGTTCCACAAATATCTACCACCTTTTGTGTGTAGAAATGCTTCCTAAGAAGGTGTTCAGACTCCAACATTAATTAACTTGATACTGAGTCCTGAAAGTTGCAGGGTCCCCATGGGGGGGTCGTGTCAAGTACGTGACGTGCCAATCAATTGGTGTGAGGTTATATTTGACAAGCCACTGTATCAGGGGCATGTTTCTTGTTAAAAGAAAGCTTTCAAGATACTGCTGAGAAACAAACTTTCAACCTATGTTTCAGTGGCTGATAGTCTCACCTCAGCTGATCTCTCTCTGTCTGCCTACCTCATTACTTCATGCATCAAAGGAAAAACACTGCAAAAGCAACCAGCCAAATATTTGGAATCATCCTGACAGGCTCAAGCTAGCCACAGGTATAGCTTACATTATGGGGGTTAGTTGAATGTAGGCATTTCATTTCCAAAAGATGATACATCCTGTGATTTCAGAAGATGATGTCTTATTGTTGTTAAGCACAAATGTGGAATTGCTTTAAGGCCAAGAGGTTGTTTCATTCTGAAATCAGATTCCCTCTGCTCGTACTACTCTATGTAACTACCGGTGAATAAAATTTACAACATGACACTTTTCAAAGCACTAATACAGAACAGAGCACACAGGACATTGAGAAGGGAGAAACAAATTTTAGGTAACTTGACCATAATCTGTACCTTTCCCATCCAGTGAAATCTCTACATCTGCTCTCCTCTTTGTGTTGCTCCTCAGATGGTTGGTGGTCCCAATTATCACTGGGGTCATTGTAGGGGACCCCTTCAGCTCTGATGAAGAGTTTTCTTTCAGAGAACTGTGTGCCCTACAGTGGAAATCATGGAGAAGGAGCAGTAGGAAGGGATAAAGAAAACGTCAGATAGTTATTTCTTAATTCATGACACACTTCTTCTGAAAAGTCCCAGCCCTTATGATACAGTTCTGCTATTCTCCAGCACATGTCACAGTAACTCCAGTACACTCCCAACACACAATACTATTCAAATACTGAAGAAGTGAGACAGAAGAGTCACACAGTTGATCTTGGGTGGCAGGGGTGAGGAAATGCAAGAGAAGATTGGGGTTTTCAAGCTTCTAGGGAACTGACAGTAAAGGGTGCTGAAACAGTATCTTCAGATCAATACTCAAATCCATAATGCAGGGATAAAGATCAAAGTGCTGCAAGGCAAATTTAGAACTAGTGACAGGAAGGTCACAATATGATGACTGGCCAACAGTATACAATAAAGAATGCAGCTAATCAAGGAAACGGTTCACCATCATCTTTTCCAGGGCAATACGTGCCAGTCACACCCACATCCCTTGAACGAAAAATGAAACACATGATATGTATTTCATGGATGACCATGAAATCATTGCCAATTTTTGGAAAAACCCATCTGTCTCACTAATGACTTTCAGAGACAGAAATCTGCCATCGTTATGTGGTCTGGCCTACATGTGACTCCAGACCCGTAGCAATATGTTTTACTCTCAACCACCCTCTGAAATGGCCGGGTAAGCCACTCAGTTCAAGGGCAGCTGGAGACAGGCAATAAATGCTGGCCAACCAGTGATGCTCAAGTCCTGGGCATGAATGAATGAAAAAAATAGTTTTGAGGGGAAAGAGTCAAGGAATCAAGTCCTGGGAACCTGGCAGATAGATGCAGTGATCTGGAGATCATAGTCAGTGATCTGAAGAAAGGTCTAGGCCCGAAATGTCAGCCTTCCTGCTCCTCTGATGCTGCTTGGCCTGCTGTGTTCATCCAGCTCTACACTTTGTTTTTCTCATTTTTGGAGATCATGGTGTTCTTTTGTTGAATATTTTTATTCGTTCATGTGATACGGGCATTACTGGCTGGGTCAGTATTTATTACCCATTCCAAGTTGTCCTTGAGAAGGTGGTTGTGAGCTTAATTCTTGAACCACTGCAGTCTATTTGGTGTATGTAAATCCACAATACCATTAAGGCGAGAGTTCCAGGACTTTGACCCAGTGAAACTGAAGGAACAGTGATATATTTCCAAATCAGGACAGTGTGAGACTTGGAGTGGAACTTGCAAGTGCTGGTGGTCCTATGTGTCTGGTTCCTTTGTCTTTCTAGATGGCAGTAGTCGTGGTTTGGAAGGTACTGTCTAAGTTGCCTTGGTGAATTTCTACAATATATCTTTTAGATAGTACACACTGCTGCTACTGAGAGCCAGTGGTGGATTGAGTTAGTGGATGTGCTAATGAAGTGGGCTGTTTTGTGTTGGATGGTGTCAAAACTCCTAGACACTTGTTGGAATTGCACTCATACAGGCGAAGTGGAGAATATTCCAGCACACTCCTGATTTGTGCCTGAGGAGTCAAGAGATGAGTTACTCATTGCAGGATTCCTAGCTTCTGACCTGATCTCATAGTTGCTGCATTCATATGGCTAGTCCAGTTCAGTTTCTGGTCAATGGCAACCCCCAGGATGTTTATGGTAGAGGGTTTCAGTGTTGGCAATGCCACTGAATGTGAAGGGATGATGGTTAGGTTCTCTTTTGTTGGAGATAGTCATTGCCTGGCATTTGTGTGGCCTGAATGTTACTTGGCACTTATCAGTTCAAACCTGGTTTTGTCCAGCTCATGTTGCATTTGAACACTGCTGCTTCAATATCTGACGAGTGAATAGTGCTGAACATCCCCAATTCTGACCTTTGGATTGTCTATGGTTTTGATGGAACCCCCCTTGTGATGATTTAAATTCTACCATCTCTGCATGGCTAATAGTGATTCACATTCAGCATTTCAGGACAAAAGGAAGCTCACTTCATCTTAAAGTGAAAAACAGCTCCTTTGAAGAAATGACAAACAGATGGATGGTGTGAAGGTCCCTTTCCAGTGCCCTCAAGGTGACAGAAGTGTTGGGACAAATAGATTGCAAAGATGCTGAAATAAATCATATAAAACTAGGAGAACAACAAGGCACAGATGACATGTCCTAGCCCACCCCCTGCACATGAAGTACACTTTTCCAAGAGTTTTGATCTCCTCCACTCTTTCCTAGTTGCAGGAAATAATTACATGGAATTTATGTGGGAAGATGAGATGAAATATGAGATGAGAGTGTTACACTGTGACGAGATATTGCGTAGAATAGACCAATCTTTTACGGTCCTTCAGCCCACTGTGTCAATGCCAACCAACAAGCACTTTAATTTCCCAGCACTTGTTTGTAGCCATGTATGTGATGGTGTTTCAAGTATTTACCTTGTAAAGACTGTATCTTTTTATTTCTCTGTATCTTTGATTGTGGATTGAAATAGGAAAAGGACAGTTTCAAAACTAAGGACTAGGGAAGCAGTTGCTGCAGTTTTGCAATTTTTGCTGGGACGTACTGTGAGTTGCATTTACTCTGCTGCTTTGTACTCAGGGAGGAGAGGAGAGATGAGACACCACAGCAACAGGGTCCGTATGCAGAGCGAGATTCATCCAGCAACAGATTGCTGATGGGTTTGTGCGCAGTCATGGATGCCAGAAATCATCAGCCTGGCAAAGCTTTCTGATTGGCTCCTGGTGAACCAAGGCGAACAACTTGACTGTTTATGATGGAGGAAGAGAAGCCTCTGGACTGCTCAAAAAGAAGCAGGTTCTATCTCTCAGTCTCTCTGCTATGAAGTAGTTAAAATCTGAAGGCAGTGGGTTATTTCCTCTCACCAGTTGCTGTAAGCTGTTGCCTTTAACTAGTAACTAAAAGACTTTACAACTGGTGAACCAAACACCCTGTGCCTTCTGTGAAGAAGTGAATCGACTCCTTCATCAAGATTGTGACGCCAAGTCCTCTGTTACACATCCATCCCTGTTTGACCAAAAGATCCAGATCTCTACAGTTAAGAAGGATAAGAGGCAATCTCATTGAAATACATGACTTTCTCAAACAACAGCCTCACTGGGAAGGTGCAGGGGGGCTGTTTTGATGGTTTGTGAAATCTGTAAGGTCACAGTCTCTTTGATCACTGAGGACATCCTTTCAAATGCCAGACAGCTCCAGACAGATGGATATTTACAACAGTTAACAATGGTTATATAGTTGCCATTAGAGTAGATTTTTTAAAATTGAATTCAAATTTCACCATCTTGCAACGGTGGGATTCAAACCCATGCGCCCAGAACATTAGTCTGGGTCTCTGGATTTTGAATCCAGTGGCATTTTATTGTGCCACAACTTGCTCTTCCTCTTTGTCCAACTGTAGTATTGGAGAGGTGTCTGGGATCTTGCAGGGTCTGCTGATTCCCACAACCACTTCAGTGTTAAACTTGGGAGTTACTAAGCTGATACCCCAGAGTATAATTTTAATACTTATCACATACGATCAGGAGAAGTATCAGCTAAACTTGTGTTTCACACCTGATCCCATCACTTTCCCAAAGGTAATTTCAGTGAAATCTGCTCCCCAGCTAACACTATTGTACCATTTCCCAGGGCCTCAAAAGCATGGAACCTCATCTACTTCTCAAGCCTTGTGGCTCTCTGTCATGTTCAAATCTCCCATCCTGTGCCTAATATCATCCCCTGTTCATTTTGGCCTCGGTGAAATCTTGCCCTTGGATCATGTCTTCCTGCAATTTTTAAAAGAGAAATGGGACACAATTCTGTGAGTATTGAGCTTCTGCTTCAAACAGAGACCCTTGCCCCACCTTAATTGGTCAGACTCCTCTTGGAGTTCCTTCATCATTTCAGACAATCTCTGGGTCATAAGGTCTTCCTTTCCCTTTCCCAAATCCTTTGTGGTGGTTTTCCTGGAGCTGGTTGAGAGTTCGGACCTGTCTGAAGACTGAACAAAGAAAACTCATACCTTCAGTACCATTCAATTGAATATGGTGAAAACAACCATAACTTGCATTCACATAGCACAACGCAAAGGTACTTCATAAGATGCACCGTCAGACAAAAATTGACACCAAGCCGTAGATGAGAATATAGAAGGCATGGCAAGCAAGTTTGCGGCTGACACCAAAATTGGTTGTATAGTCGACACTGTTAACGGTTATCTAACATTACAAAGAGATCTTGATCAATTGGGCTGAGCAGTGGCAGATGGAGTTTAATTTGGATAAATGTGAGGTATTGCATTTTGGAAAAATAATCAAGGGCAGGACTTATACAACTAGTGATCGGGCTCTGGAGTGTTGTCGAACAGACAGACCTAGGTGTTCAGGTACATAGTTCTTTGAAAGATCTGTGACAGGTAGACAGGGTGGTTGTGAAGACGTTTCGCACACTCACCTTCATTGCTCACACCATTGAGTATAGGAATTGAGACGTAATGTTGGAGGATGTTGGTGAGGCCACTTTTGCAGTACTGCTTATAATTCTCGTTGGCCTGCTGTAGGAAGGATGTTATTAAATTGGAGAGGGTTCAGAAAAGATTTACCAAGATGTTGCTGGGACTGGAGGCTTTGAGTTTTAAGGAGAGGCTGGATAGGCTGGACTTCTCTCACTGGAGCTTAGGAGGTTGAGGGGTGACCTTATATAGACTTATAAAATTATAAGGGGCACAGATAAGGTGAATAGCATTGGTCTTTTCCCCTAGGGGGCATATTTTTAAGGTGAGAGGAGAAACATTTAAAAGGGACCTGAGGGGCAACTTTTTCCACACAGAGTGCAGTTCGTATATGGAATGAACTGCCAGAGGAAGCGGCGGACGCTGATACAGTCACAACATTTAAAACATGTTTGGACAGGTATATGAATAGGAAAAGTTTAGAGGGATATGGGCCAAGCACAGGACAGTGGGACTAGCTTAGTTTGGGAAACTAGGTCAGCATGGACAGGTTGGACTGAAGGGTCTGTTTCAGTGCTGTATGACTCTATGATGGCCATCAAACATGAAGAGAAAGGAATCAAGGTGGGGAAAATACATTGAAGGAAAGTGAATCCCCTGACTGTTAACACTCATTTTCTCTACAGTTATGCATTGGGTGAATGTTTAGCTTTTAACATCGAATGATGATGGTCCAAAGTTTGCTTAATAAATGTGATCCAATAAATTTGCTCAATAAATGTCATCCAACACAACCTTTGGTGAGGACAGATACCCTGTTAATTACAAATGCTCACCAAGCTGCACTGCAAGGTGTGCTGTTCAGAACACAATAAGTTATAATTTTTAATTTTATACTTCCTTTTCCTTTCCACCTTCTTTGTGCCTCCTTCTCTCAATCCAACCTTGTTTTCTGTCTCTTTGTTCTTTCTGTATCTGTCCCAAAGTTAAATTCATTCTTATTCTCAGTTCTTCGTCTGTTTCACTCTTTTAATCAGGCCAGTGAAGGAGATAAACTGTTGATCCTGTCATTCACAAAGGTCCCAGATGCCCCATTACCCTCACTATCTCCCTTTATCAGCTAATCTAATGAGTCAGAGTCTAATGAACAAACAGAACATTGCTGTGAGAGGTTTCATTACAGGAAAATCAGAGCTGACATTTTTACAGGAAGTTGACATATTTTCCACAAGTAACATTAGATGGGAAAGGTAAGAATGCCAGAGACTAAATGACTGATCAGTGATAGAAACAGAAATTGCTGGAGAAACTCAACAGGTCTGGAAGCATCTGTGGAGAAGGAAACAGAGTTAATGTTTCAGGTCCAAGTGACCACCTTATCTTCACAGAAACAACAGACCATAGATCATAGATCATAGAATGCCTACAGTGTGGAAACAGACCCTTTGGCCCAAAAAGTCCACACTGACCTGTGGAGCATTCCACCCAGACCCATCCCCCTATAACCCACCTAATCTACACATCCCTGAACACTATGGGCAATTTAGCATGGCCAATCCACCTAGCCTTTGGACTGTGGGAGGAAACTGGAGCACCTGGAGGAAACCCACACAGACATGGGGAGAATATGCAAACTTCACACAGACAGTCGGCCGAGGGTGGAATCGAACCTAGGTCCCTGATTCTGTGAGGCAGCAGTGCTAACCACTGAGCCACCGTGCCGCCCCCAACCTGCTGAGTGTCTCCAGTAATTTCTGTTTCTGTTTCAGATCTTCAGTATCTGCAGTTATAAAGTGATACAGCATGGGAATAGAACCTTCGTCCAACCAGTCCAAGCCGAAAATGTTCCCAAACGAAACTAGTGCAATCTCCCTGCGCTTGGCCAATATCCCTCCAAACCTTTCCTTTTCATGAACTTACCCAAACGCCTTTTAAACATTGTAACTGTACCTGCATCCACCACTTTCTCTGGCAGATTTTTTGTTTTCTTTGAACGATCAATGATGTACACTGATAGATTCGGATTAAAGGCGATTAACAGGTTTGTAGATACCATTGTCACAAGCTAAAATGAAAACATCATCAGGGATGCATCGATATCCCTGGTTCAAGCTGGTATTGTGGGGCCAACAGTTTTGTACCCTTGAGAAACTCAGCATTCCATTAGAAAAGTAAAGGCTACAGTTTGGAAATTGATTTTCTAATCAACATGCCCAGAGATGTTATTACACACCAGTGAAACAAGTGTGACTTGTACCCAGACGTAGGGATACTACCACTGTACCACAAGAAGTACAGTGTGACACTTGGGTGGATCTTGCTGTTGAGGGACACGTTAACAAAGAAGATGGATGCTCAAGAAAGACCTTATGATCATTCCCATAATAGGCAGAGAGGGGGAGTGTTAAAGAGAGAAACTGGGCAAAGACTACTCTGCATTTCCCAGCTGTACTGTAAACATGACCAAATGTTTCTGTACGTTCTTACCCTTTTATCCAGTGCTGAGGAGAGACCAGGGCTTCTCGGAAACTGTATGCTCACAAGGTTATAGTTCTCTTCAACTATAGCTGTTAAATAAGATACAAAAAAATTATCAAGGTGATGCCATTTATGAAGATTAAAACTCAGTACGAAAAAAAGACTTGCACTTATGCAGCATTTATGACATTTATGACAACCCAAGACTTACACAGCACTTTACAGCCAGTGCTGTTTGTCATTTTTTATGGTCACGGCTCTAATAACAGGAGATGTGGCAACTAAATTGTGCACAGCAAGCTCCCGCAAAGAGCAAAGTGATAATGTTCAGATAATCTGTTTACAGTGATGTTGAATGAAGGATAAATATTCAATAAATCAGTTCATCGAGGATAATCCATCTCTACTCTTCTTTGAAAATAGCGCAGCGGGTCTTTGAAGAGGTCACAGTGTGTCTGTGTTGGAGAGGCAATTTTGTTTTCCAATCAGGTCACTATTCCAAATCACTCCCTATCAGACAACGTCCTTGTGCAGATTATTAATGATAGCATAAAGGCCCGGTTGGTAAAAATGGAAATCTAGACTTCTTCAGAAAGGAGAGGGAGCTGGGTGAAATATTTATCCATAGTGGAAAAGGACTTTGTTCTTCCTTCTTTTCTGAAAGTGCAATTTATAATCAAAAGTTTAAAATTAAAGGGTCGCCCATTGAAGACAGAGGAAACATTTTTCCCTCAGGGTGTTGTCTTTGGAATTTGAAATAACTGCACCAAGGCCAGTATCTCATCACTAAGTTGCCCTTTATTTACTTGTGCACAGTAGACTGTGGACAGCCAGCTCGGAGTCAATCCCTGAAGTGAGGAGATTCTGAATCACCTGTTTGTAACTTGTAGCCAGGGCTCCTTGTTTCCCCATGGTTAAAAACCCCAGTCAAGGATCTCATAGTCAATAATATCCACCTGGTTCCAATTGCTACTGAATTACTTCCTCAAAAGGCAATGAGTGCAGAACCTTTATATATTTGTAAGGCAAAGGTAGATAGATTCTTGATTACCAAGGGGATGAGAGATCATTGAGGGTACTTAGGAATGTAGAGTTGAGGTTAAAGTCGGATCAGCCATAATGTTATTGGATAGTGAGGCAGGCTCAAAGGGTTCCTTAAAGTATGTATAGCAAATGTTTAATAAATATGATATCAACCCAGAATTTCCTTAAAACAAAAAGTGTTTTCTGTAGTGGGTTTTTAATCAAAGATAGTTCAACTTCTCCACAACCTGAGCACAGTCGCTGTGGATTGTGCAACTGCCTGTTCTTCCAATGACATTTTCCTGTCAGTGAGAAATCCTTCCTCATCTCCAGGGAGTCACTTGCAATCGGCTGGCATCTTAAGTAATGTTGATAGCCTGATAATGAAAAATACAAGGAATAAGATTCAAAAATAATGTCTCAGTGAACAGGCAGAGAGGTAAGGCGGTCACTGCCATTTTCAGGTTGGCAAGGTTTGAACAGCTGAGTGTTGCCTTTGACTCGCAATTCAACTCTTTTGACCAAATAGGAGGCATCCTGCCATCAATAGTAATGGTGTTCTCCACAGGATTAAAGGTTAGGAGATTGACATGGAGGATTGATGTGCCTTTGATCTGGACTTTTATTTATTTTTATGGAGGGAATTCCAAACTCATCCATTGTGAAATTGACTTAAAACTGTCAAAGATTCCTTTTAGATTCAGATTTGGATGATGACTGTGGTCAGTGACACCTATAAGGATCCTTATACAGCACCTTCCAAACCTGCAACCTCCACCACTGAGAAGGAGGCCTGGGAACATCAACCCTGCAAATTCTCTCAAGCCACACACCATCCTGACTTGGGAATGTATTACAGTCCCTTCGGTATCTCTGGGCCAACTTCCTGGAACTCCTCAAGTCAACACTGTGGGCGTTCCTCCATGACTACAGCAGTCCAAGAAAGTTCGCCACCACCTCCTCAAGGACAATTAGGGATGGACAATAAAGGCTGGCCTAGCCAAAGAGCCTAAATCCCCCAGGAATGAACTTTTAAAACAACAGAAATGCCAATGGTTCCTACCAGAATCCTTCCTTCTGTCGGTCTGCTTTGTTCCTGAGGCTGAGATACAGGTTGTCTTGGATGGGGACCACAGTGATTCCAGGGACAAATTGTTGGCATCTTGCACTCCACTCATTTCCTGAGAAGTTCTACGTTATAGAACAGAGAATTGTTGACAGACATTCTTTATTAAAAGTTGTTTCTCTTGAAATCAAAAGTACAAGACAGAAAGAGGCCGTTTGTCCCCATGGTTCTCTGTTGGTGCTTATGCTCCACATGACCATTCTCATACCCTGTTCCTCCAACTTTATTGACAATATTTTTCAATCTTTCTCCTGAATATGTTTATCCAGCTTTCCTGTGATAGTACCTATGCTTTCACCCTCACATTGTGGTATTGAGTTCCACATTCGCATTACCCTCTGGATAAAAATGTTTGGAAGTGAATGCATTATCGACAAATTTGTGGATGACGCAAAAGTAGATGGGACAATGAGTGGTAAGGATTGCACAAGGAGTCTCCAGGGGGATAAAGACAGGTTAGGTGAGTGGGCAAAATGCGACAGATGAACTATAATGCGGGAAAGTATGAGATTATGTACTTTGGCAGAAAGAATAGAGGAGATGAATATGACTTAATATAGAAAGACTGTAAAAAGTTACAGAACACAGGGATTTTGGGTCCTACTGCATGAATCACAAAAGGCCAGCATCCAAGTTCAACAGGTAATAGGGAAGGCAAATAGAACGTTGACCTATATTTCAAAAGGAATGCAGTATAAAATAGTGAGGAATTGTTAAAAACTATACAAGGGACCACAGCTGGAATAGTGTGAACAGTTTAGTCCCTGAAGTCAGGCAAGATATAATTTGAGTGGAGGAGTCCAAAGAAGATTCACTGGGTTGATCCCAGGTGTGGAGGGATTTTCTTTTGAGGAGAAGTCAAGTAGGGTACAGTCTAGAAGAATGAGAGGAGACCTTGTTGAAACATATAAGATTCTTAGGGTGCTTGACATGGTAGATATGGAGATATTGTTTCCCCTTGTGGGAGAGTCTAGGACCAGCTGGCATAATCTCAAAGTAGACAGCCACCCATTTATTATAGAGATAAGGAGGAGTCTCTTGTAAGAGAGGAGAGTGAATCTGTGGAACTTTTACCTCAGCGGGCTGTTGAGGCTGGGTCATTAAGTACCTTCACAGTGGAGATAAATTTTTAATCGGCAAGGGAATCAAGGGTTATGGGAAAAAGGTAGGAAAGTGGATTAGAAGATTATCAAATCATCTATGATCTCATTTAATAGCAGAGCAGATTTGATGGGCTGAATGGCTTACTTCTGCTCCTATGTCTTTTTTTTCCAGTCCAGAAATCAGCATCTTGCATCTCCAACAACTGATTGTTGCATTTCCTGTATCACAACAGTAATCACACTTCAAAAGGACTCAAATTAGGTCTAAAATCATTTGGAGTATCCCTTGCTTACTAAATGCAGACTTTTATTTTCAGTCAGAGCTGGTGTGTGACTGTATCCAGAGCCTGATTCAAACTAGGGTGATATGATTCACCTGGAAGGCAATCATATCTGAACAACAAAAACTTGCATTTTTGTAGCACCTTTAACAGAGCACAGGATTTTTTAAAATCATTTGTGGGATGTGGGCATCACTGGTTGGCCAGCATTTATTGCCTGTCCCTACTTGCCTTTGAGAAGGTGGTGGTGAGCTGCCTTCTTGAACCATGACAGTCCTCCTGCTGTGGGTTGACCCACAATGCTATTAGGGAGGGAATTCCAGGATTTTGACCCAGTGACAGTGAAGGAATGGTGATACATTTCCAAGTCAGGATGGTGAGCGGCTTGGAGGGGAACTTGAAGGTGGTGGTGTTCCCTATATATCTGCTGCCCTTGTCCTTCTAGATGGAAGTAGTTGTGGATTTGGAAGGTGCTGTCTGAGGATCTATGGTGAATTTCTGCAGTGTATCTTGCAGATAGTATACACTCAGTATCGGTGGTGGAAGGAGTGGATGCTTGTGGATGTAGTGCCAATCAATTGAGCTGCTTTGTCCTGGATGGTGTCAAGCTTCTTGAGTGTTGTTGGGGCCAGGTAAGTGTTATAAAACAAATCTTGACACCAATCCACATAAAGGCAGGTGATTCAAGGCTTGGTCGAAGTGGTAGGTTCAACTGGTTTCATGAAGCTGAGAGAGCTGGAAATGTGGAGAGGTTTAGGGAGGAAATTGCAGAGCTTAAGGACAAGGCAGCAACAGACTGGGATTGGAAGACTACAGAGGTCTCAGAAACCTGGAGGAGGAAGCAGAAGTAGAAATAGGCGAGACTTATTGTGATGCAGAGTTTCCACAATGTACATGATCTGACCTGTACTTCAGCCCAGCTGCAAGATACAAACTATTCAAATTGGCATTATCCACCGTTATTTACAAATTAAGCTATCAGCAGAAGGAATTGAATAATATTTGGTTTTATAATCTGAGGAAGGGTGTTCTGGCATAGAGAGATTACATTGCAGGTTTACCAGTCTGATTCCTGGGATGGCAGGACCGATGTTTGGAATCTCTGCCACAGAAAACGATTGAGAGTAAAACATTGAATGTTTTCAGGAAGGAGTTAGCTACAGTTCTTAAAGGTTGTGGGGTGAAAGTGGGGACAGGGGTCTGAATTGGATGATCAGCCATGATCATATGGAATAGCGAAGCGTGCTCCCAAAGGGCTGAATGGTCTTGTCTTGCTCCTATTTTCTATGTTTTGAATGTTTGCTCATCAACTGGGGCATTTTAACTTGATTGTAAGAAGCTGACACAATTTCTCCATTTTTTTAAACTCACAAATTTTCACAGGAAAAGAACGACGGTGCTACTAATCAGCCCATTGGAGAAATTTTGAGAGAGGAGAATTTCTTGCCTGTCATGGCTCTTAGTACAGATGTACAATGGTGACAGATGTCTTATATTTCTTGCACAGAAACCCCACAGCTGCCAAAGTGTTTTATGCCACAATCGGCTTATGTAAATCTCATTGCTTTTCGGCCATAATAAGCTGTTCCATTTCCTGGCATGAGACTCCACAGAAACAGCCAAAGGAGCTTAACAGATTGTGTTTTGTCCCAAATACTTAAAAACACCAAGAAATTGTAACACGGAAGCAGGTCCGATCAGCCAGCGTTGGTTTTAATTCCCTCTCCTCAGCATTCTGTGCAAACGATCTATCCTCATTTCACTGAACTAACCTGTTGTAAACCTCTTTCAAACTCACTTCTCTCATGCTCATCTCAAATGTTCAGGTAGGGTTTGTGGCTGACGCAGGAACTCAGTGAACCCCACAGCTTCCCAAAACTTTCTCCATTCTCCTGCTGACTGTTCTTAATCTCTTACATTTAATCTTCTTTCTTTGGGTTCTCACTGCTGACCCTACAAAATCTATCTGTTTCTATCTGCCCTGTCCCATTGTTACAGAATTTTATACACTTCCTTCATTATCATTACTTCACTTGTTTTGTTCTGAGCAATGAAGATCTGATTTTTCTAAACCTTAATATATTCACACCCCAAGTAGCATTTAAGTCAATCTATGCCACAACCCTTTCCAAGAATTCAGCATCGCAATTTTGGGAATATCATTTCGGAGAATCATAGAATTATTGCAGTGCAGAACAGGGTGCCATTGTGTCTGCACAACTCTCCCCTCTCCTGTCTTCTCCCTTTAACCTGCACTTTCATCTTTCACTGATAACCCTTCACATTCTCTTCAAAAAGCCTCAATAGAGCTGCACAAACACAACACTCTCAGACTGTATATTCCAAACTGATACCACTCACTGCATCAAAAAAGTTCTTGGATCACTTTTGCTTCCGTACCTGTGCCGTCTTGTTCTCAATCCTTTCACAAATGGGAACAGTTTTGCGCTATTACACTGCTTCTACGCAGTAAATCTGTTAGCTATTTTCTCCGCTAACAGATTGCTGCTGTTGAGTCAACAAGACATTTTGCCAACCACAGAAACAAGTAATGTGCCATACGAGTTTCAGCGCCAGTGTGATGCCAGCTATGTAGGCCCTACACCCCTGACCTTCCCTCCGTCCGAAAGTCAGAAGTGGGGATGTTCGCCGATGGTTGCACAATGTTCAGCACCATTCGCGGCTCCTCACATACTGAAGCAGTCCGTGTTCAAACGCAGTAAGACCTGGACAATATCCAGGCTTGGGCTGACAAGTGGCAAGTGACATTCGCGTCACACAAATGCCAGGCTATGACCTTCCCCAATAAGACACAATCTAACCAACATCCCCTGACATTCAATGGTGTTACCACCACTGAATCCGCCACTCTCAACATCCTGGGGGTTACCATTGACCAGAAACTCATCTGGACTCACCACTAAACACAATAGCTACAACGGCAGGTCAGAAGCTAGGAACACTGCGGTGAGAAATTCACCTCCTCACTACCCCAAAGCCTGACCATCATCTACAAGGCACAAGTCAGGAGTGTGATGGAATACTCCCCACTCGCCTGGATGAGTGCAGCTCCAACAACATTCAAGAAACTTGACACCATCCAGGACAAAGCAGCCCGCTTGATTGGCACCACAATCACAAGTGTCCGCTCTCTGTCTAGCAGCAGCGTGTACTTTATACAAGATGCACTACATGAATTCATTCGAGATCCTAGGCAGCATCTGGATAGAGTGGACGTGGAGAAGATGTTTCCACCAGTAGGAAAGAGTAGGATGTCAGAGCACAATCTCAGAATGGAGTACGAACCCTTTCGAACAGAGGTGAGGAGGAATTTCTTCAGCCAGGGTGATATTGCGGAACTTGACTGCAGAGGGCTGTGGGATCCAAGTCATTGAGTGTATTTACGACAGAGATAGGTAGGCTCTTGATTAGTACGGGGATCAAGGGTTACGGGGAGAAGAAAGGAGAATCGTTTTGAGAAACATATCAGCCATAATTGAATGGTAGAGTAGACTAGATGAGCCAAATGGCCTAATTCTGCTCCTATGTATTATGGTTTTGTATAGCATGTCCTGTTTGACCATCAGTCTCAAGTTTCAGAGATAGTAGGAACTGCAGATGCTGGAGAATCTGAGATAACAAGTTATAGAACTGGATGAACACAGCAGGCCAAGCAGCATC